TAACAGAGGGCTAGCACCTGCTGAAGAGCATCAGATGCGTTAATAACTTATATGGAAGTGCTCCATGCCCTAGTTAAGTGCTAGAGACATAAATGATGGTTTTCAAGGGAAAAGAATGCATTACCAAGTCAGAAAGGAAGTGCTGAGGCCGATTTGAATACCTTGTACTGTCTGCCTGGATAACAAATCCTCTGACTGCATGTAGATTACTTACTTGAAAAATCTGTACCTCTAAATTGTGTGTAAAATCCAGAACCTAAAAATAGAGCCTGTTCCATGACCCAGTTCTCAGCCCTGAAATAAGGGCAACAGGCTAACGCTCTGGGCTGCCCTTGTTCCAAGTCTGGCTCAGAGCACTTATCCGCTGTGCAGGCATCAGGTGACTTACTGGACCTCTCTGGTTTACTGTCCCCTCACCTGTAAGCTGGGCTTCCCAGATGGCTCAGCAGGTAAAGAATCCGTCTTCAATGCAGGAGACCCGGGTTCGATCCCTGGATCGGGCAGATCCCTCTGGAAAAGGAAATGGTAACCCACTGCAGGATTCTTGCCTGGGAAATCCCATGGTCAGAGGAGCCTGGTGGGCTACAGTCCATGGGGTCATAAAGAGTCGGACACGACTGAGCACCTAACACATATTGACAAGTGGATACTGGAAACCCACATGCATCAAACGTTTGGCAGCCGCACAAGCCACGTGTGAGAGAGCTGCGGTTTCTGCTGATGTATGGGAGGGCTGCTGCTGCTGCTGAGTCGCTGCAGTCGTGTCTGACTCTGTGCGACCCCGTAGATGGCAGCCCACCAGGCTCCTCTGTCCCTGGGATTCTCCAGGCAAGAACACTAGAGTGGGTTGCCATTTCCTTCTCCGATGCATGCATGCATGCTAAGTCACTTCAGTCGTGTCTGACTCTGTGCGACCCCATGGACAGCAGCCCACCAGGCTGGGAGGGTTACGGGGGCTCTAATTCCAGCTAATTCCATCAGGTTTGCCGTTCCTTTAAATTTAAATAAATATGGTTTTCAAAGACTGGAAAGGCCTGAGGATGTGGGGAGGGCAGGGACGATATTTTTCACCGTCTCTGTTTCGTGAAAGTAATGTTGCTTCTTCAAACCAACATGTGTCAGAATGATTCTCATCAGATTAAATAAATCCTCAAAGCTGCTCTCACAGTTTATAGAATCTTGGAAATGTAGGTTATGCTTCATGTGGAACCCTAATGGAATTTAAAACAAGTGTGTTTTTGCAAGCACAGCTTTGAGAGCACACGCTTTACTGGGGTTTGTGAATTTAAGCTACCATGTCTCAGGAGTTTAGGGAATGCTTTTACTACAGGAAGGTAATGGACAATCACTGACCAGTTTGAGATGCTGTTAACTGAAGATGGAGAAGACTAAGTCTGATGAAAACCAGCACTGTGCACACTGCCAGACGTGTGAACAGAGATCGCTCTTAGATGAGACACGAGGGGCTAGCCTCCAGTCCGTCACCTTTGTGCAGGCAGTGGCCATGTGTCCTTATGGTCGGTTATGGCCTTTTCAGTGTTTTAGAGGAGATTGGACTTTGTTGCGGGCAGTGGATTTTATGCTTTAAAGATCTTGAATGATCAATACAGATGTTTAATATTCCCTGCCATAAGAAAGCTTATTCTTAAAATTAGTTGCTACATCTAATCACAATGAAATACCACTTCACACCCACTGAGATGGCTTCTATCAAAAAATAAATAAATAAATAACAGGAAATAATTCATGGTGAGGGGACTTCCCTGGTGGTCCAGTGGTCAAGGCTCTGAGCTCTCAAAGCAGGGAACATAGGTTCGAGACTGGTCAGAGGTCTAACCGGTCCATCCTAAAGAAAGTCAGCCCTGAATATTCATTGGAAGGACTGGTGCTGAAGCTGAAGCTCCAATGCTTTGGCCACCTGATGGGAAGAAGTGATTCATTGGAAAAGACCCTGATGCTGGGAAAGATTGAAGGCAAGAGGAGAAGGGGAAAACAGAAGATGAGATGGTTGGATGGCTGGGAGATAGCGAAAAACAGGGAAGCCTGGAGTGCTGCAGTCCATGGGATTGCAAAGCGTCAGACACGACTTAGCAACTGACCAACAACAGGGAACTAGATCCCAAGTGCTGCAACTGAAAGCTCCTGCGTGCCGCAGAGAAGATGGAAGATCCCAAGTGCTGCAGCTAAGACCTGCCCTCGCCAAATGAATAAATTAAATAAATAAATTATGATTTTTTAAAAAGTGGTGAGCCCATGGAGAAATTGAGCCCATATGCATTGCTGGTGGGAATCTAAGATCTGGAAATGCTGTGGAAAGCCATTCGATGCTTCCTCCAAAATATTAGAATCCAGAGCATTGTTCTCAAGCTTCCAGTGGGAAACCTTGGCTGTGAAATCCCTGGAGGTGGAGCTGGTGGTTGATTTGGAGCAGTCAAGTCAGGGTGTGCTTGGATTCCAGACAAATCCAAACATAATGACATCAGAGACTTACACTTGGGCCAAACTTACTCATCCCTGGCTGGCTGTTGATCTCATAGCCAAGCCATATTTGTAAAAAAAAAAAAAAAAAAAAAAAACCAGTTAACCACACCACAAAAGCTAAATAAAACAAAACCATCATGTAGGGAAGATTTCTGTGCTGCTTAGTAAGACTTGAAGTCCTTAGTCTCATGGAGCAACAGAAATTACTTGGGGGAATTTCAGGTGTTTTTGCTAAACTCTTTGGGATTAAAAGACACTTGCTCCTTGGAAGAAAAGCTATGACCAATCTAGACAGCATATTAAAAAGGAGAAACATTACTTTGCCAACAAAGGTCTGCCTATTCAAAGCTATACAATAGTCATGTATGGATGTGAGAGTTGGACTATAAAGAAAGCTGAGCATTGAAGAATTGATAGTTTTGAACTGTGGTGTTGGAGAAGATTGTTGAGAGTCCCTTAGACAGCAAGGAGATCCAACCAGTCCATCCTAAAGGAAATCAGTCCTGAAAATTCATTGGAAGGACTGATGCTGAAGCTGAAACTCCAATACTTTGGCCACCTGATGTGAAAAACTGACTCATTGGAAAAGACCCTGATGCTGGGAAAGATTGAAGGCAGGAGAAGTGGAAATCAGAGAATGGATGGCATCACCGACTCAATGGACATGAGTTTGAGTAAACTCTGGGAGTTGGTAATGGACAGGGAGGCCTGGCATGCTGCAGTCCATGGTGTCGCAAAGAGTCAGACGTGACTGAGCGACTGAACTGAACTTGGGATGTAACAGTGAACTTTCTGAATGCTGGGACTTTTGCCAGCAGCAAAAGAAAGCTAAAACAAATGATTTCCTTCCAGGGTGGAGCAGCAGAGCTGGTGGGAGGTAGGCTGGGCAGCTCAGGGGTGACGATTCCACTCTGTCTGCCCACAGGACCAGCCGTAAGCCAAGCCACCAGCTTCTGAGAGCTGCCTTCACCCCACTTTCCGCCCTGACTGGCCGGCCTTGCATTCACCTAAAGCTTCCAGGTCCCCTTATCTCTCATTGAGATGTTTCGGAGGCTTGAGCACCTGTGTACTGCCTGTAACTGTGTCCTGATGCTTCTAAACTATGACACATGCAGTTATTTTTATAAAGGCATGTGTGTGCGTGCTAAGTAACCTCAGCCATGTCCTACTCTTGTGACCCCATGGACAATAGCCTGCCAGGCTCCTCTGTCCCTGGGATTCTACAGGCAAGAATACTGGAGTGACTTGCCACACCCTCCTCCAGGGGATCTTCTTGACCCAATGAATTGAACCCGTAGAAGAATTTTTAATATCTTAGAAGTATGCTTGGCAGATACTAAGTGCTGTATGCAGACTACAAAACAAGGCGACTCTTTTGGTAAGACAAAAGGAAATTTAATAAGGAAACGTGCATCTCTCTATCCACAGAAAGGAAGGCTGGAAGGACATCCCACATGTTAACAGTAGTTCTCTCCAGGTGGTAGAACTACACGTGATTTTAATGTGCTTGGCTTGTTGCTTTTGAACAATGAACATGTACTGCTTTCATCCTAAATCCTGTTCCCTCAGTATTGGTGACAGGGTGGGTCAGCTCAGTATGATGAAAGAGCGTAAGAAATAGCAAGAGCTTCACAAGGACCTTACTTTTTCTTTTCTTATTTTTAAATTTTTTTGGCTACACCATGGGGCATGCAGGATCTTAGTTCTCTAAAACAGTGAAGTGAAAGTGTTAGTCTCTAAGTCTTGTCTGACTCTTCTCTGACCCCATGGACTGTAGCCCACCAGGCTCCTCTGTCCCTGGGATTTCTCAGGCAACAATACTGGAGGGGGTTGCCATGCCCTCCTCCGGGGATCTTCCTGACTCAGGGATCGATCCTGAGTCTCCTGCATTGTGGGCAGATTCTTTACCCTCTGGGCCACCAGGGAATCCCCTCAGTTCCCTAATGAGGGATCAAACCCGTGCCACCTGCAGTGGAAGCATGAACCTTACGTTTTTGATACTTGGCATCCCAGAAGGGCCAAGAGCTTTGCATTGATCGGCTCTGGGAATCTCACTTGTTAGAAGCTTCTGGAAGCTGAGGACTCTGGCAAGAGAGTACCTCGCAGCCCAGAGGACCGGAGACCCCTTGCCTGGAGTCTCCTGTTCATCCTTTGTGACCCTGCCCCTTCCCTGCTCCAGGGATCACCCAGGTTCACAGTCTGCTGAGACCAAAACCACTGGGCTTGCCCACAGTTAGCTGAAGGATTAACCAAAAACAAAAAGTGCTTTTCAGCGACACATCCTCTGCTACAGCGTTCTCCCTCTCTGCCTGAGCTCAGCCTCAGGAGGAAGGGGACCCCCGGGTGTCCAGAGGACGGCGGCCCGCGGGTGATGAAATGACGGGAAGAGGCGTGCTCCTGCCGCCCTCCGGGGGCTCCTTGTTTGTCATGCGGTCACGAAGTCAGTCTCCCCATTCGCATCACCTGTGTGTTCCTTTCTGTGAGTCATGTGGTCCATGTCTTTCCTTCTTGTCTTCCAGTCCACCCAAGCCGACCGTGTTTATCTCCGGAGTCATTGCCCGGGTAAGCGCCCTTTCGTCATTTCGGGGTCTCAGCACGTGATCTCCTGATTCCTCCTGTCCTTACTCCACCCCATGCATCCACTCGGGAGCCGGGCGGGGGGGGCTCTTAATTGCCCCCCTGTCCACGGAACGTGCTTCTGTGCTCAGGGACAGACGGGGTGGCAGCCAGGAAGAGCCCGCAGCACCTGCCCGCCTCTCCTCCCCCCTCTGCTGTCTTCTTTCTCCTTAGACTATCCACAGGCCAAAGGGTTTCTGGGGGATCTGTGAGCTGACAGTGTTTTTACATTTTTTAAGGGTTGAAGAAATTTGAAATAAGAATTACACGGTGATACCTGTGAAGTGTTAGTCGCTAAGTCGGGTTCAACTCTTGTGACCCCATGGACTATAGCCCACCAGGTTCCTCTGTCCATGGGATTCAAAACAACGACAAGAACTGCTCTAGCAGAAGAAAGCCACCCAACACCCAAGCTTAGTTCTGAGTGAGTCGTGTGGTGCCTGAGCCCCTGGCATGGGGGCAGAGATGGCGAGCTTTCTTACCTTCTGGAAGGTACATGGGTCTCTGTGCCCCTTTGAGCTCCCCAGAAAGCCTCAGGACCACCCCACAGTCCTAGGAGATGGGTTTCCACCTTCCAACAGGTTCTCCACTCCACCACCCACCCACTCGCACATGCAAGCCAGAGAATGCCGGCTTTGGGTCTTGCTCATGAACTTACTCAGGCTTCCCTGGCGGCTCAGACAGTAAAGAATCCACCTGCAATGCAGGAGACACATGTTCGATCCCTGAGTCAGGAAGATCCACTGGAGGAAGGAAATGGCCCCCCACTCCAGTACTTTTGCCTGGGACATCCCATGGATGGAGGAGCCTGGTGGGCTACAGTCTGTGGGTCACAGAGAGTCAGACGTGACTGAGAACTGGGCAGACAGGCGTGCAGGAACTCACCCAGCTGTTCACGGTTGATGAGACAGTGCTTTGAGCCAGTGCTTTCCGTGTCTTCCCACAGGGCGACAAGGACTTCCCCCCAGCGGCCGCCCAGGTGGCCCACCAGAAGCCCCACGCCTCCATAGACAGACACCCCTCCCCGAGGACCCAGCATATCCAGCAGCCTCGCAAGTGACCAGCGAGGACCCGGCGCCCTCACCAGGCACGCCTCGGTTCCCCGACACTTGGTATTTCCTCCGACAAAGAGAACTGGCATCTTCCTCAAAACACTGCCCCATTGGGAAATCTAAGACAAAGCAAAGTGCCCCTTCTTTTGCCTTCAATTTCCAGCTCTAAAACTAGAATCAGACCCCCAATCCTCATTTCCAGGGAGTCCTGGCTGGTGTCGCTCGAGGACCATCACGCCTCTGTCTGTGCCCTGAGCAGAATTTACTAAGACCTGAGTGAAGTGACGTTGTTCCCAGTTTAGCTTCCCAGTTCTGGTTCATCAGTTGCTCTGCCAGTGGTCTTAAAAATTAGCAGGCAGAAATCTGGGAGGATTAGATTAAGGTCAGGGGAAAGCTCAATCATTGCATGCTTTTTAGTCATAGGACAATCAAATCTTAACACCTAGAGGGAAGAGAAAGAGATGAAGGCGTTAATTACAGAAAACCTGAGTAGGGAGGATACTGCAATAGACAACAGCATCACTGAATTTCCCTCCCTTGTGTGACGAGGGCTCAGATCACAGGGCAACAACACCAAGCTCTCCCAGAAAAGCCAGAGAAGAGCCTAAGCTTTGAAGAGGCTCTTTTATTCCAGGAGTCATCTGGCTGAAAAATTTTGCCCAAAGGGAATACTTCCAGACTGAAATTTCTCAGTGTGGGTCTCAAGTCCCACACAGCCCCACCATCCACACAGGCTCGCCGGGAAATCAAGGCGAACCTTCATTTTTTCAGTGATCACCTCGAGAACTGCTTTGAAGTTCTCGGAGTGATCCCTGACCAGGTGGAGGAATAGACACATGGATAACCCTGGAACACTAGAGCAAAAGCACTGACCACAGGGAAAGATCAGATAAAAACCTGCCTTTGCTCCTCGAGGGAAAAGTAGAAGCATCACATCACCACTGTAGCTAGAAAAGCCTGTTTGTTAGTCAGTCGAAGTGTCAGAACAACCTCTGCCTTAGGGCACCATTCACTTGGACATCTCAGATTATCCTACGCTTTCTGCCCAGGTTTCCCGCCCAGAGCTGCCCTAGACTGCTTACAGCAGTTGGGTGCCCTGCTTTTCTGAAAGGCACATGTTCAAATCTCCCAGAGCAAATGCTTTGGGAGCTGGTGTGGCCTGACTATCCCACTTGCCAGTGCACTACTTGCAGCAGATCCGCAATGGGGGCAGCAGGCACCCCACAGCCCATCTGACACTCTTTCCAACTCCATGTCCACGATTGGTAAAGGTGACGCAGACCTAGCTTTTGCCCCTCTAAGGGAAAAGCCAGCTCTGCTTCACATCTTAAAGGCAACATTTGGTTTCCCATCTCATTGACTTTTGGAGCCAAGGTCTCACACTCACGGCAGTGCGTAGTCACATCTCGTATTTCTTAATCGCTGAGATGTTGCTATAAACAGAGGCTGGCTTTTGGAGATGACGCCTAGGTGTGTAGCCTCCTCCTGGCTACCTCCCGGAGCCGGCATCTCTGAGCGATCCTGAGAGCAGGCAGCGCCGGGTCAGTCTGTGGACTGCTGCACCCTCTGCTGCGGAGATGAAGGCTCATCCTTGACACCTTGTAGTGCTGCAGCCAGGAGTGCCGTGCTGTGCATTTTTCTTGTCCTTTTAGCTACATCTGGCGTGTATCTGTGGGCTCCCGATTGCTGAAAGCAAATTGTTCCCCTGAATGAGTTTATCCATGGTTAGCTTCAAGAATAATCGTTCTAATAAAGCTCCTGCGTGGTTTGTTTTCTCTTATATCTCAGAGATTGTTCTTTCTCATCTCGCTAGGGTTGCCAGATGGTTTCAAAAGAAATACGAACATGCAAAAATAAGGAGTATGTTCACAAATTGTTTCCCAGACACAAAGCCAAACTATTGGACACCTGGCACCTTGAGTCTAATCGCTTCCTTTGAAATGTCATAAAGTGGAAAAGCTTTAATGTGGTGGATTAAAATGTACTCCTTGGGCCGAGCAGCTGGCCCTGTGCTTGGAAGGTCCTTTGGGAACAGACTTGGGAAGAATGATAAGTAGTAAGCCCAGGGGTGGCTGTGAGCAGCATTTGACAAATAAGACATTCCCCTAATTTATCCAAAGATCCCCTGGAACCGTTATGAGCAGGATGAGAAAATAATCATAATTATTAGCTTCAAGATCCAGAGTCAGACTACAGATGTGGGCTGGGAGGGACCCTGAACTGTTTTCACCCTAGAAGGACAGGGCAGCTTGGTGGCCCTGAGCCAGGGGAAGACACACATGGCCAGAGTCTGTGTCCCCAGCCCTGGCCTCCCCTCAGCCCCTGATGTCACCTCTGGATGCTGCTCTTTGCATTCACACTTCCACCTCCCTTTCTAAGTTGAGGACAGAATGAGGGTCTTGTGCATTTAGTGTCACTGGGTAGAGAGTTGTCCTAGGTACATAACATTGACTTACCAGGCCATGTAGACTTCTGAGAAATGTTTGTGTAGACATTTGTTTGACTTAACAGGCCATGTAGACTTCTGAGAAATGTTTGTGTAGACATTTGTTGGGAGGAGGTTACCAAACACTGCTATGACTCACTAGGACCCAGACCCTCCACTTAAGAGAATGCAGCCTACCTTCTTCCAAAGTCTCTCAAAATGATCTATGTCTAAGCAGACCTGAGAATGATAAGAGCCGCAGGTCTTCCACCATTTATTACACTCATGATTATATCTAGTTACTATATGACTATCAAGGGCTTCCCTGGTGGCTCAGAGGGTAAAGAATCCGCCTGCGATGCAAGAGACCTGGGTTTGATCCCTGAGTCGTTAAGATCCCCTGGAGGCCCCACTCCAGTATTCTTGCCTGGAGAATCACATGGACAGAGGAGCCTGGCGGGCTATAGTCCATGGGATCACAAAGAGTTGGACACGACTGAGTCACTAACACACACACAAACAGAAATACCAACCACATAACAAACGTGGAGCAGAATTGCCTCCAGGGTGTTCCACATTGTCACGAACATCATCATCACCTGCATTTGTTAGTCATCACCATAACAAAGTACCCCAGACTGGGTGGCTGAAAACAGTGGAAATGTGTGACTTCCTTGTCCTGGAGCCTAGAAATTTGCAGTGAAGGTGTGGGCAGGGCCGCCTTCCCCAAAAAGCTCCAGGGGTGACAATTCTTGGCCTCTTCTGCTTCCTGGCAGTGCCTAGTGATCATTGACTTGTTGCAACTCAAACCGAGTCTTTGCTTCTGTTGTTAATGTGGAAACCTTCCTGCATGTCCGTGTCCAAACTTCCCTCTTCTAAGGATGGCAGTCACTGGACCAGAGCCACCCCCATCCAGTGTGAAAACTGGAAGCATTAGTCATTTAGTCGTGTCCTACTCTTTGCCACTCCGTGGGCTGTAGCCCGCCAGGCTCCTCTGTCCATGGGATTCTCCAGGCAAGAATACTGGAGTAGGTTGCCATCTCCATCTCCAGGGGATCTTCCCAACCCAGGGATTGGACCCAGGTCTCCTGCATTGCAGGCAGATTTCTTATCATCTGAGCCATCAGAGAAGCCCACCTAGATGACCTCACCTCAACAAATCAAATCTGCAAGAACCCTAATTCCAAAAAAGGTTGTGTTCATGGACCCTGGGACTCAGGACCTGAACTATCTATCTTCTCAGGGGGACATTATTCAATTCAGGACCTCAGCTACATGATGAAAAGCCGGAAACCCTGCTCCCAGCTCACACTGTTGGAATAGCTGTTCATCTGGTCAGTTGGTTTCCTGAACTTTACTATGAGAAAGTTTTGCCCACTACAGATTGTTACAGTGTTGCTAGTCATAGAGCAGCCAGAGCCTGTGTGCTGGGGGACCCGAAAGAGCAGGGCAGAAGTGCCATGGGATAAGTCACCCAGGCCATGGGGGGGGGGCCATTCACCCCCAGTTCTAGTAGCTCCTGAGATCGCAGCTCTCTGCTGCATGCATCCTCAGGTCAAAGTCACTATGTCCCAATAGCACATATCGTTATGTTCTGTAAGTGATCCATGGGCAGTGGGCGGCCCATTTCACAGATGGGAAGACTGAGACTGAAGCTCACTACCCAGGGTCAAAAGCCACCGTTAGCCAACACTTGTCCAGGGAAGATACACAAATGGCCAATAGGCACCTGAAAAATGTTCAAGATCAACAGTCACCGGAGAGATGCAAATCGAGACAGTGAGAGACCCATTCACACCCACAGAGATGGCAGGGATCAAAAGTCCAAATAAGCCTTGATAAAGATATGGGGAAATTAAACCCATGCACAGTGACTCATACAGAGAATGAAAAACGGTGCGGCCACTTAGGAAAACAGGCTGGCAGTTCCTCAATTAAACAGAGTTACTGTGTGACCCAGCATGTCTATTCCTCGGTATATACCCCCAAATAAATGAAAACACATGTCTTTGCAAGAATTTGTACACAGATGTGTAGGGTAGCATTATATATAATAGCCAAAAGGTAGAAACAACCCAAATAGGTCCATCAACTGAGGAGTGAATACATAAAATGTTATATACACACATACACACAAATGGAATACTACTACATTGTAAATATTGTTCCATTATTTCGCCATGCAAACGAATGCAATACTGATCTATGGGACAATAAGAGTGAACCTTGAGAATATTATGCACAGTGAAAGAAGCCAGCTACAAAAGACCATGTACTATAGGATTCTGTTTACATGAAGTGTCCACAATAGGGAGACATCTAGAGACAGCGACTGCACAGGGCTGGGAGTTGGGGGGCAGGCAGGATACAGGGGGTGAGAGCTTAAGGAAATAGGGCTCCTTTCTGAGGTGATGGAAATGTTCTGAAATCAACTGAGGATGGGCCTAGAGGCTGTCACGCAGAGTGAGGTAAGTCAGAAAGAGAGGAACAAATAGCGTACATTAATGCATATATGTGGAATCTAGAAAAATGGTGAAGGTGAAGTCGCTCAGTTGTGTCTGACTCTTTGCGACCCTGTGGACA